TCGATCTATCTTCCATGATTCGGAGAGCAACAGATCGCTTAATCTGTCCTCACCCATGCTTCGTCGTTTTGCAGGTTTTGCCTTCACTCTGCCTGCTTTTCACCTGTGCTTCCCCAAATCGGAGAAGGCCAGTGTTGTTTTCTGGATTTTCTGGACTTGAAGGGTGAAAAGAGGCAGGTTTTCTGGATTTGGATGAGTTTGATTTTTGGGTTTGGGGGTTTTCTTATATATTTTGTGTATTACGGTATCTGGTTTTTGCTGGTATTAGCTATTAGGGGTTTCTGGGTATTGGGGGGTTTCTAAGAATGGAGTTTACGATCTCTGCTTCCTGCAGTGGAAGATTTTTTATTTTTTAATTTGTGTCGGTTATTTCGAGTTAGTTAAACCGACAAAAATAATTAATAATAATACATAAATAATAATTAATATAATTACAAAAATGATTATTCTTGACATGTTTAGTATCGGTTAACCGATTGAAAAAGATTGACACGAAAAGTACTATGTCGGTTATTTCGGCAGTTGCTTAAAACTAACGCGGATCGGGTTAGTGTCGGCAGGTTTCATGTCGGTTATATGAACCGACACGAATTTTTTTGTGTCGGTTGTAACCGACACAAAACATAAGAAATAAGCGACACTAAACCTCCTGTTTTTTATTACTTCGCTCCGAACTACTATCTAATCAAATCAAAAGGTTGGGTGTTTAAACTAATCTAATCTACTCGTAAAGGCAACATAAACAACCAACCAAGTGCTTGGGAGGTCGCTAGAGATGGACGGTTGTCTAGGGTCAAATCCTCCTAGCTAGGGTTGTCAAGTAGGGTTAAGAGAATCTGGTGAGTGAGCTCTTTTCCGTGGACTTTCGTGGCTATCCACACGTCTCCTAGTAAGCCTCTCCTAAACCCATGTCAGTATCGTATTTAGGGCATTAAGACCATAGCTCCTTTCAATGGGTACTACCCATTGTCCACACTGAGGTTTTATCCCTGGTTCTATCTAGGAAGGCATTCCTATGGTAGTGGTACGGTTGCCTCGTCCACCTTAGGATCCTATTCATACATCTAGCCTTAATTTACTTGATGACGCATACCAGTCTAACCCCAAAACTCCAGACCCAGCGTAGAAGCTCAAGTAGGCTAGTAGAGAGGATTAGGGCGGCCGGCTTACCCAAACACATTCAAATCTAGAGAAACAATAAAATCAACTAGATAAACACATTCATTCAAAACCCATTCAAACGCAACCTATAGACTAGGGTTCATCTTCCCTAAACAACCATTAGAGATTCAAGTCATAGAGAGAGAAAGAAAACACAAACTAGAAGAGTGGGAGTGATGTAATCAATCTTCTTCTCCTTGCTTGCACCTTCTTCTTGCTCCTTGAGTGGATTGGATCTTTAATTAAGCTCTCCCAAGGTGTTTCCCTCTCTAAAAACAACCCAAAACCTAACTTTCTCACTCTAGGTCGGCTCTCCCTTATAAAGTGCAGCAATAGGGGTATTTATAGAAAGCTTATGGCGGTCAAGGCCTCTCGGGCGTGACGCGATGGTCACGGTCGTGACCAGCTAGAACGTCCCCGAATCGCCCAAAATGATGCGTTTTGACTTTGTCTTTACGCTTCGAGATCGTGGCCTCCATCCCAAGATCGCAACCGTGATCTTAGTGCCCCGACCGCAATCTTTTTTGCGGTCGAATTGTGTCATTTCCGCAATTCGACTAGAGAAACTTTTTGGCTTCTTTTTGGTCGTCTGTTGAAATTTGCGGCTACTGTTCACGGTCGCGATCTTCAGCCCGCGAACATGGTCACGGCCTAGTGGTCACGACCGTGACCTGTGGCGATGACCAGTGCCTCTTCTCCTCTTCTTGATCCTATGCTTCCCAATCGTGGTCGGATGAACTCCAATCGATTCGCGGTTAATCCCGAATGCATATAAGATTTGGAATTTCATAACAAACACTTGCGAAAAGCATAAAATTACGACATATTGTGGTCGGTTCCCTCATGAAAACCTTTATATCAAGAATACCAATGCCAAAACGGATGTTTTGCAAATATGAATGAAAATAGGCAAAATAACTTGATATGTGGCATAGACACGGTGATTTAACATGCAAATGCCTTGGGAATATGGGCTAAATAACTCCAATCGTGGTCGCATGAACTCCAAACGATTCTCGACCAATCCCGAATGCACATAAGACCTGGAATTTCATCACAAACACTTGGGAAAAGCCTAAAATACGACATATTGGGGTCGGTTCCCCTACGAAAACCTTCATATCAATAATACAAATGCCTAAACGTATGTTTTGCAAATAGGAACAAAAATGGGCATAAATAACTTGATATGTAGCCTAAACACAGTGATTTAACATGCAAATGCATTGGGAATATGGGCTAAATAACTCCAATCGTGGTCGCATGAACTCCAATCAATTCCCGAATGCACATAAGACCTGGAATTTCATCACAAACACTTGGGAAAAGCATAAAATACGACATATTGAGGTCGGTTATCCTACGAAAACCTTCACATCAAGAGTACATATGTGGGCTAAACACGATGATTTAACATGCAGATGCCTTGGGAATAGGGGCTAAATAATGCCTATACATATTGGGGTCGGTTCTCCTACGAAAACCTTCATATCAAGAATACATATGCCTAAACCTATGTTTTGCAAATAGGAACAAAAATGGGCATAAATAACTTGATACGTATGATGAATGATGGTCAATTACTAAAACATATTGGCCCATAAGGTCTCAAACCTGTGACCTTCGCGTTATTAGCACGACGCTCTAACCAACTGAGCTAATAGGCCTTTGATGCTTAAATTTCTTTGCTTTTATACTAGTTGAGTTGTGTTGCTTCTATAGTAACTCTTGCTTGCTGTCTAACTTAAAAATATGTATCTAGTTAGTAAATACTTCGTTTAATATGCGTATATATTGACATATGTACTATAGACGTTCAAAACTTTCATTTTCGTGTCGTTGTCAAATCATGTTTTCTTTACAATGGTGATATAGGTTTATTCTTTTAATTGGATGTTATAGTTTGTTACTTGTTAGTATTTCTTGCTTGCTGTATAACTTAAAAAATACTTGCTCTAGTTAGTAAAAGTCGACTTTGTTTAATATGTGTATATTATAAGAGTTTTATGAATAGTAACTTGTATTATTATGAAACCACAAAAGGGTTTATATAAACTACAAGACTTGGACAATAAGTAAGAGAACCACAATAATTGTAATACTAGAAGGACAAGGAAATACTAAGAACTATACCAGATTATTCCTAATCTATCTGTAACACACCCCCGCAAGATGATGGTGCGAAGAACAACATCAATCTTGACCAAAATACGCCAATCTTGAAGAACACGCCCCCGCAATGTGATTGTGTAGAATGTGATGCAGACTCCTCGAACTCTTGTGCTTGAAGAGCGAAGTCAACTAATCGTCGTCTGGAGAAGAAGAAATCATCAAACTTGCAATTCATATGTTGCAACCAAATTCACTCGCCGTCAGAAATTGACCGGAAACGAGATGAACATTAATCAATTGGTTTTGAAGATACCAATAAACGTAAACTGGTGTAGGACACGAGCTATTCATCTTAATGACCGTTATCGGAGAAGCTTTCTTCGTTCCATTCCTGCAAAGAATAAATGGTTGGGGGTGACCGTGGCTCAGCCATATAATGTTCCAACAATTGAAAATAAGATAAAAACAATAACGCCGACTTATAAAAACCAGATCTTGATCTTCAAGGACAAGGCGGCAGTGGTTGATGGACAAAGCACTAAAAATTTGCAGAATTTGCTACAAAAGATAGCAACGATGATATCGAATGAAGGAATGCTTTTGGAGAGTGGAAATCTGAAGCTTGAACTATTACGTCAAGGGACACGCGATGCGAGAGTCAGGGAAAGATTAGTATTGGCAAAGAGGGTTTATTTTTAATGAGGAATGGAACAACTAGGTCTACAGGAAAGCAAAAAAAAAAACAAAGTAAAAGAAGATGATAGCTGTAAACTGGGAATGGGAATGCAAGGGAATTAATTGGCTGAAAGGAAAAAGCAATCGGGTGAGAGGACTCATCGTACTGGCTGAAAGACAAACAAAGCTTTTAGGGTTTCTGGATTGATGGGTTGTTAAGCAAAGGCTCTGATACCATATAAGAGTTTTATGAATAGTAACTTGTATTATTATGAAACCACGAGACTTGGACAATGAGTAAGAAAACCACAACAATTGGAATACTAGGACACGGAAATACTAAAAACTATACTAGAAAGACAAGGAAATATAAGATTATTCCTAATCTATCTTTAACACGCCACGTCAAGATACATTAACCCTGATAGTCCTTTTAATTCATTCTTTATCAACTTAAAGATGATCTTCATCACAGCTGGTATCGACTATAAGCATTTCTACTTGATTAGTTCCCTGTGAAAAGAAATTAAACTTGTATCAGAATTACAGTTGAAGAACTCTTTTAAGTAGGAGGTTACTTATTGAACGATGATAAAAGGAAGATTTTTTTAATTTATGTGAAATGTAGTAAGAAAAATCCAACAAAAATTTACATTTACCTCTCCATTTCTCATCATGTTTACAACATCGTCGTTGGACCAGATTCTGCTGCGCTTGCCTGGGATGTTTGACATCTTCCTCAATAACAATAGCTCTGTCGAGGTCTCTAAGAAGATCATGTATCTATGACCTTAAGAGCCAAAGGGAGACTTGCATCAACTTTTACAAATTCTTCACATAGAGTTGTATGATCTTCCAGAGGATAATGCATTCCAAATGCATGTCTACTAAAAAGCTGAAGAGAATGATCAAAACTCATTTCTCTAGGAATATAGAGCTTAAATTCTTGAAGGATCTATAGGACTCTCGTCTCTTGTCGTGACAAGAAATCTACTTTTTGTAGAAAAATAGCCCAATCTTCCGAAAAATCTGGTTAAACTCAAATCTACTATCTACTCATCAAGAAGAATAAGAACTTTATACTTACAAACTCTATCCTGTATTATTTTGACTCCTTGATAAGCATCTTTAACCAGGGAATCATCCCTTAAGATGCTAGAGATTACCTTATTTTGCAAAGCTATTATGCCCGTCATTCTTTGACAATGTTTCAGACACTCTCTAAAAAGCAACACCGATTGAATTTTGTACACGGCTTTGGCTATAGCGGTTTTGCCAATGCCACTCATACCATGAATCCCAATAATTTTCTCATCTCCTGAGTCTAGATTGAGCAAGTCAATCACCTCTTGCACATGAAAATCAATTCCTACCAACTCATCGGTCACTTAAGTGTAGCTATTCCGCAAGTGCAACTCACCTTCTGAAAACTCCTGGTCTCAGACAGCTCCCTGTCTGAAAATTTAATACAAGTTGACATCAGTAAAACAAATAGTTCTTCCATAAAGAAAATGGAACGAATAAGTCACTGCTAAAACGGGAGCCTACATTTACAGATGTTATTGGTTAGCATTATTGCAGTTCGAGGTCATATAGTCCAAATCGCTACTATTAGTTAATTCAGATGCCATGTGCATATAAAGATCAGAAATGAAGACATTACCCATCCGATTAGGGTGGAACCCAATACCAAATACCGAAATCCCGAATACCGAATTACACCATGAAATCAATCCCAATCCCAATCCCTAAATAATTTCGGTATTCCAATCCCAATCCTTAAATATTTCGGTATCTCAATCGGTACCTCGGTATCCCAATCGGTATTATCAAATACAAAATTAATTATCTTTGCTATTAATAATTAAATATATAAATTAGTTTTTATTGTTTAATTTAGGGCAAAGAGACTAAACAAAGAGTCTTGAGTTGCCTAGAGCTAACATCTCAAGTTTTTATAATTAGTAATCTTTAATTTGATGAATTTGAGGTTGAGAGACGACTAATACTAGTGTGAAATAGTGATGTAATGATCTATGTATAATTAAATGACACTATTGGTGGTTGAGGGTCGCATAGTAGTGAATGAGAGAGTCTAGTTGAGAGGATAAAATACACATTAGCTTATATTTCGGTATTGATCGGTATTTCGGTATATACCGATCCCAATCCCGTAATCCCTAATACCGAATAACAATTGAAACTCAATCCCAATCCCAATCCCACGAAATAATTCGTGTATTCGGTAATACCAAATATAGACAAATTCGGTATGGTATTCGGTATATACCAAATACCGGTACCAAACTTCCAGCCCTACATCTGATACAGTCGCATGCCACCCTTTCATTTGCCCGACCTCTTGGAGAGCTTGCCTCCATTCTTGTACAGTCTCTGTGTCATGTTTCTGATTGTAATGTTCAAATGCTTCCTTGTAAGGACATGCTTGATGCCTTGCATCTTTGGGATCCATTAAATAGAAAATGGGCAATATGATGTGCCCCTGCCCTTTCTTATTGCAGCACTCAACCATCTTAGCTAGTTCCTAAAGAACCATTTGCTTGAAGCACAGCCCTTTGTGAAGATTGGGATATATACATTTGATTCACTGGTGGCCTGGATGAGAGAAGGGCAATCTTCTTACCCTTATGGTCATGGAGTTCTTCCGCATTCCTGAAAGTGCGGATTTTGGAACGAACTAGACAACTGTAGAGGCAATCCGCAAAGCTTTTGTGGACATCTGGACCTTTAAACCTCGGGAATACCTCCAAAGGTTGCTGGTCTGCGGAATCTAGCAAAGTGCTGACGAGAGATTTGAGTTTTGCCGATGATACTTCTGGTTGTGAAGAAGAAGCATTGGAGACTGCTGTTCCTTCACTGGACCTGATGCACATCTCCATTCTCTTAAACGAGTAGGAATTTGTTCTCTAGAGAAAAAAAAGCAAAACAAATTAGAAGCTTTAGAATAAAATCGAAAGAGATTAGAAACCAACCATATTTTATATCTAAGCACTTACCAAAAATTAAATTGGAAGACCCTGTTCTCTTTAGGGAGGTTAAACTCTCCATCTCCTAGGAAGTGAAAGTTAGGAAGATGTTTTGATGAAATGGATGCAAAATAGCAATATGTTGTGGAGACCTGTGAGCTAATGACTGATTCAAGGCCTGGGATGCGTGTAATTTAAAATGTGCAATCAAACATTGACTTGACTTTGGGTTTATAGGACCCAGTGCGAAAGAAGAATAATAGTCACCATTTAGACAGATTAAATGTAATTAAGGAATCCATGAATCTGGACATCGCTCTGTTTGAGTCATTAGTTAGGCCAAAAATACAGCCAAACTTTTACTGAGGAAGGGATCTTCATATATTTGTTAGCCATCCTTCCAGTTATCAGTACGATAATGAGATCCCTGTTATTGTTCACCGGGTCTTCTGTCAAAGCTAGGAGTGAATATCTGCCCAACTGCTTCAAGTGCAGAGACATTCCAGCTCTCTGTATGCCTAACAATCTGCAGATTTGACAGTATAATTTTTGTTTCTGAATGCCAAAGCTTCAAGGTTTCAAGAACAGACACTGCTGCAGAGGAAAAAGAGGGCTGGTACTAAACATACTTTGAAGTCTTCATTCAGTTCATAGACGGTGGCTCCAACAATTGAAATGAGCGGCCTCCATGGAAATCTTAGGTAAGTCCTGCAAAATCATCCTGACAAACACTCACTCTCACTCTCTAATGGAACAGTAAATTTTGTTAGAAGACCAATCTCCACAAAATGTCCTTCTGAAGAAAGACACAGCAAGCACAATTCTCAGCCCCTTCTCGATGCAATGCATCATCTTATCACATACAATTTTTCGGTGTTATCGACTACCTCAATTTCCAAGTCGCCAGCACGGAATTTGTCCCGGAATCCACATCCTGGTCCATACGAGTTCAAGTTATCTACTTTGATCAATAAAGCTTATCATAATAAGCTCATGTAATCAACTTAAGTCAAAGGTTTTTTACCTTCTCAATGCTTTGTAGCTCAATGGATGGATGGTCGAAGAAAGGAACCAGTCATCGATGGCGGGATGTATGCTGTCTGGGAAAACCCGGGCTGTGTGTTCAAGGCAAGGGTGATGATAGATGTTTCATCTCCACTACAACACCGACTTGAAGCCAGAAAGAGGAATGCAGATGGTTCGTTGGGAGATCCGTTCTGGGTATCCCTCAAATATGAAAACATCAAAACGGTTTGCTTCAGATGCCGGAGAATTGGTCACAATCAGAGTTTCTGTGCTTTCGATTTGGTGACGGGAGACGATGGTTTCGGTCCAGAAATCATTGGGAATCGCACAGGGCCTAAACTCAACGAGAACTCTTATGCGGCAGCACGAAAAGGAGGAAGGAATTGGGGAGGAAACGTGTGGCGACAAGGGCCTCGATCCTCGCCGCATCCGCGATCCAACACCCTGCTGCTCGAAGCTCCCTCCCGGAGTAGTGGAAGAAATCGCATCGGAAAAGACTGGGGGGCGGGGCGCAGCCTAAACCGAGAGGGACCTAAGGGAAATAGAGGAGCAGCCCACCTGGGAAACACTGAAAGGCCGCAAATCCCCCTTGGGCCGAATAAGCAAATGGGCCAGCCATTCTTGGAGGCTGATTGCAGCAAATTAGGTCAAACTGGGCTTGGGCCCATAACTGAAGAAAGAGGCCTGTCCACTCAACCTTTGATTTTGGATCCCTTGCCTCTCCAATTTCAAGCTCCATCCCTATCTTACGGGCTAGGTAACTTATATTGTAATGAAGATCCTGGATTTTTATTTGATGATTTAGAAGATACTCTTTTATCAGGCTTGCAAGGAGAAGGGATGGGTTTCTTTGATAATGGAGAAATGGCTCACTCTGCAGATACGGCCATTTCTTGCTCGCCGATAGGATGTGCTGCGGATGGAAAGTCAAAAGGGAAGGCGATATTGGTGGAATCGTCAGAGTCTCCAAGAGTTTATGTGCGAAGGAATACTGGAATCTGTATCCAAGAGCCAGAAGAAGGAGTGGTAAATTCCCTTCCAAAGAGTCCAAGCGAGAAGGACAATGGTAAAGGAAAAAGGGTGGAGGTAGCCAACCCCAATTGGCCCCAAAATCCTAAATGAATGTTTACGCGTGGAATTGTCAAGGGGTGGGGAGTACCTTGACATTCCAAACGCTAAAAGCTCACCGAAATTTGTCCAAGTCATTTCTATTTCTTTGTGAAACCATGTCTCCTAGTGACAAGGTTGAGTCTTTTATGTCTCGATTAGGTTTTTCAGATTGCTGTCCTGTTAACCCTTCCGGCCTGTCGGGGGGTCTAGTGTTTGGTTGGCCAAGAGGAGCTTCGGTCTCAGTCATTGGTGCAACCTCTTTTTTTATTGCCATTTCGGTGATCAATAATAATTCCCTTTGCTATGGTGCTTGTCCTCGATTTGTGCTAATAGGAGTCTATCTTTCGTATGTAATCACAAAACGGCGCACACAACTAGAGGAACTTCGAGGTTTTTGTGCGAGATTGACAGACCCTTTCCTAATAATTGGAGATGTGAATTGCTCCTTATCCCCGTTAGAGAAATCTGGTGGAGCACCATGGCGTATGGACAAAGCCCGACCCCTTTGGGAATTTCTCAATACTTTGGGACTAATGGAAGTGAGATTTCAGGGACCTAAATTCACATGGACAAACCGAGGTAGAAATGGTATTTTGATAGAACAAAAAATCGACAGAGCCTTTGTTTCTACAAACTGGACGCTTATTTGGCCTAACTCCTGTCTTTATCATCTCTCAGATAAAGGGTCAGATCACAGACTTTTATGCCTTATGACATCTCCGGAAATGTCTAGAGCAAAACGTTTATTTCATTTTGATATAAGATGGACACGTGTGCAGGAAGCGAAACTCATCATAGAATATGTCTGGAATTCACCTATAACTGGGTCATTACAATTCTGCCTATTCTATAAACTTCTTAGAGTCCGTCATGCCCTTGTTGATTGGTGCAAAGGAGGCACCTCTAACTCAGCCAGATTAATTAAGGATCTCAATCTAGCTCTTGACAATGCACGGAAAAACATTATAGTAGATTGGAACCTGATACAATCACTGGAAGAAAGACTAGAGGTCCAATACAAAAGGGAAGAAGTTTATTGGAGGCAAAAATCCCGAGTAAACTGGCTTTCAGAAGGTGATCGCAATTCACCTTATTTTCATATGATAACAGCAATTAGGCGCCAATCCAATTTCATTTGGGGATTAGAGGACTCTAGAGGTCTCTGGCACACAGATGGGGACAAAAAGTTAAGCATAGCAGTGGATTTTTATCAAAACCTTTTTCAATCCCAGCTTGATGAAGGCATTGACTTGTCTAACCTTCCTTTTGAAAAACTAGTCTCCGAGGAACAAAACCGAGCACTCATTGCTCAGGTCTCTTCAGAGGAAATCAAGGAAGTAGTATTCAGTATGGGAAAAATTCAAGCACCTGGTCCAGATGGATTCACAGCTGGGTTCTATCAATCCTACTGGGATGTAGTAGGTCATGATGTCACTCAAGCCGTCCTAGCATTCTTTCACTCGGGTCATCTTCTCCGTTCCATTAATAGAACTTGGATATCGCTTGTCCCTAAAACAGCGGAAGTTAGGTCGATGAAAAATCTCAGACCCATTAGCCTTTGCCAAGTAAGTTATAAGATCATAGCAAAAATATTGGCTAATAGACTCAGTCAAGTTCTTCCTAGTGTAGTATCTCAAGCTCAGAATGGGTTTATAAAAGGACGTCAAATTTCAGAAAATATATTAATCAGTCACGAGATAACCCATCATCACAGAACTATGACTTCAGGGAATAAGACTTGGATGGCATTAAAATTGGACATGGAAAAAGCATATGATCGTGTGGAGTGGCCATTTCTCTTCGAGGTGATGAAAGAATTAGGATTTGACCAAAAATTCATATCCTGGATAAAGGAATGTGTGACGACTGTTTCCTATTCAGTGATGGTGAACGGGATCCCTTCCGTCTACTTCCGTCCTACGAGAGGGCTTCGGCAAGGAGATCCCCTCTCGTCCCTTTTATTCGCTTTATGTACGGAAGGTTTTTCAGCAATGATAAGACATACGATTGCATTTGGACTCTTGGAAGGGGTTAGAATTCGAGCATCTTGCCCAATGGTCTCACATATCTTCTTTGCAGACGATTCGTATCTATTTTTAGAGGCTACCCAACAATCATGTACAACTACCCTATCCCTATTCCAAGCCTACGAAGGACTGAGCGGACAACGAGTCAATTTACAAAAGTCAGCGGTTTTATTTAGCCGCAATATGAATTCAGATCAAGCTTTGGAGCTAGGGGCCCAGCTAGGAGTAGGTAGTATCGGTGAACAAGACCGTTACCTAGGACTACCTTCAATTATTTCCAGATCAAAAAAGGAGTCCTTCCAATTCATGGAAGAAAAACTCATTAAAAAGCTGCAAGGATGGAAACAAAGAACCTTGTCTAAAGGCGGTAAAGATATATTAATAAGGACAGCAGCAACCAATCTACCGGTTCATGGCATGTCTTGCTTTAAGATCCCGAAAGAAAATTGTCGGCGGTTAAACAGTCAAGTGGCTAGATTTTGGTGGGGATCACCAGATAATGGTGATAACCCAATACATTGGGTCTCTTGGAAAAGTTTAGCACACAGTAAATTCCATGGAGGACTGGGATTCAGGGACTTTGGTGCCTTTAATCAAGCCCTATTAGCCAAACAATGTTGGCAAATCTGGAAAAATCCGAATTCTCTCCTTGCCTCAATCTATAAAGGCCGATATTTTCATCATGGATCAGTTCTAGATGCAAAAATAGGATCAAATCCCTCTTGGGGGTGGCGCAGTATTCTGTATGGTAGAGATCTCCTCCTCCAAGGATTAAGATGGCAAGTTGGGAATGGACAAGATATTGTTGCCTTCAAAGACAAGTGGGTAGTTTCAGAAAAACCAATGACCCCTTTAGTCCGCCTCTTGAATATTACTAATTCTCCAAGAGTTTCCTTCTTTATTAGAGAAGAAAGAGGAGAGTGGCATGTCCCGAGGCTTCAATATTGTTTTGATCCTATAACGGTAGACCTCATATGCAAAACCCCTCTACCTAGATGCCAACAAAGAGATACGAGGATTTGGCACTTTACCAAAAATGGCGCCTATACAGTCAAAACTGGATACCATCTAGCTTTGGAAATCTCTTTAGTTTCAAGTCGAAAACCCCTGGTCCAGATCATCGATCCACCTATATGGAAGAAGACATGGGGTATACTGGTTCCTCCAAAACTAAAATTCTTCATTTGGCAGTGCCTAAGAGTGATATTACCAACAGTAGTTGCACTGAAGTCTAGAGGAGTTGACTGTCATATTCGATGCCCCGTTTGCTGGAGAGGTCCAGAAAGTATTGAACACTTGTTCTTTAGATGCCCTTTGGCCACCAGACTGTGGACTCTTATGGGACTAAATGATTTCATTGCCTCGGCCCCGACTGTGAATTTCAGTCTCTGGTGGCGACATGTTATGCTTTCTGAGCACCCCCAAACCCATATTCTCCTCTACGTTTGTGTATTATGGAGAATCTGGAAGTCTCGAAATAAGGTGGTGTTTGAGCATTTTCAGCCTCATGCCCAGTCTCTAGCGCGTCAATGTTATTTCCAAGTCCGTGAAGTTTCCTCCTCTCTGCCCTTAGTGCCTTCCCCTCCCCCCCTAACCTCAAAGTCTCGCCTCCCCTCCTGGGTCCCCCCTCCTGATGGCTTCCTGAAGATCAATTTCGATGCGGCGGTTCGTGCTCCAGGTTGTTCGTCTGGTCTTGTGGTGTGTGGTTCAGACGGGCATGTGGCTTTGGCAGTAGGATTTCAGCACCTCTACATTGCTGACCCCTACCTCGCAGAGCTCCTGGCAGCAAGGGACGCCATCGCCCTCTTGGTCTCCAAAAGCCTTCCTCGTGTCATCATCGAAGGAGATTCAGAAGTGGTTGTCCGTCAGCTTCGTCAGGGGATTTCTTCAGATTCCATTGGAGGTCCGGTGCTCCGGGATTGTCTTCTACTCCTGTCTTCAGTTTCCGGCTCCTTAGAGTTTAGTGCAGTTCCCCGGTCTGCTAACAGGGCTGCCCATAGAGTGGCGCAGAAAGCCCTGTTACTTTCTCCTCTTGAGCTTTGTTCCTTCGACTTTGTGGGTTGGCTTCACTAATGTATTTGGTTGGGAGGGTTTTGGGTAGATTGTATAGCGCTCTCTTTTGACATTTCTCGGGAAAAAAAAAAAAAAACTTCAAGTTGCGTGCATATAATTCAGTACCTTGTGAATCAAGGTAAGATGCACAGATTAACAACTTATTAGTCAAACTACTACACAGTGTCAGAGCTAAACCCTAAATATACATAAATATACCACCCCACCAATCAATCTCAACCCCTTTCATTCATCAGCAGAGCTTCAAAGGTGTGTCTAATTACCTCTGAATCTAATAGTTGGATCTTCAAACAGACAATCTTCAACGTAGAGCGCAGACGTGAAAATCCCTAGCACAATCTCACAGCAGAAATTAAAATTAGTGGGCAAAAGTTCATCCAAACAATAGCAAAGAAGAGAGAAATTGAGGGTCGTCATTAAGAACACCTGTCACGAAATAAGCATTCTCATAATCAATCTTGAGTGTTCTCACGACTTCATCAGCGTTGAAAATCGAAACGGCCTCATCTGTTGCTCCGCTACCGCTGCTACCCACTTCCCCCAATCTACACCGTAATCAAACGGGCGGCTAGTAAGGATCTTCGGCGGAGAAATACGGGACCAGGTAGGTTGAGCTTGCTTACCGGTCGTCGCCGGGGGAAGAGAAGAGTCTGAGAAACTCGGTGACTCCGCTCACCGCCAATTTCAGAATCTTAGGGGTTTTCGTTTCGCCGATCCTGGCCATGTCTTCGCCAGTATTAGAGTTGCCTTTGCTCCCGTTCCCCGATCCGCTGGATGACGAGCTGCATCGGATTCGAGATCTGTGAGCGCTCTGCCTCTGCGAGATTAATTGAGACTGAGTGACGGTTAAGGTTGGAGAGGATGGAAGGATTCCCGCCATTTCCACCCTTTTTTTCAACAGTAAAATAGCGAACGAAAGAGATTCTTCAAGCTTTTTTCGTGTTGTGGTTTCTTTAGGTCGCGATATTTTAAGTTTGGGTTTCCAACCTACTTACGACCAGAAATACACAAAAGGGAAGGGTTAAGTTTGAGTCTAGATACCTGGGTCTTGATTCTTCGCCTAATTTGAGATAGTACGTGTTATTTATCTCTCCCAAACTGTACAAGTGTTGTTGATACAATGATCTAGATCTACATGTGTTGATAGTGGAAAGGGCTGATGGTTGCAGGTATTGTTTCTGGTTGGCCACTAATTCAATTAGTGGAGAAGGGTTCTTTGATGAATGCAGCATCCCTTCATTATAACCAAGAATTAAATCTCTGCGTATTCACATTTTTGTTTGTTGGTCCATGTTTTATAAGTTTCTACTATTTCACTATTACCGTCACCATCCTTTGATCATCATCTTCTTTCTCTCTTCCTATCAGCCACGAGCTGTCTTTTGGAGTCTGGTGTAGAACACACATTTTCAGACTTTGTTCCTGTATGATCTGCACATCGTTCACAGCTATGAAGATTTTGACATGGTGCAACCCCGGAGTAAAAAAATTTGGATTAGTTACTGTATTTCGGGCACTGTTCTTTCTATGTAGGATTTTCGACTGTGTTGATTTTGGATGATGATTCAATCATTTTGGGATTTCTTCGTGAAATATCATTTGAAGTTAGATTCACTGTAGGCAGTTCAACAATTTAACAACAGATGATAACTGAAATTGTATGTCGCAAGGACTGAACAAACTGCAGCTATGGTTCTGCTATCTTGCATAATTTAGCTATGAGTGTTATTGACCATCAATATATTGTTTGATTTCCCTCTCTTATAATAGCTCATTGGTTTTGCAAAACGGAATGGAAGTTCAACAGGTAAATGGCTGCCATGTGACAAGTTCAGCAACGCTACACAAAAAATGTTGTATTTTCATTTTTCAATATATTTTTCCAAATTTTGGAACTATTCTTATCAAGTTAAGTTGTGCTCATTCTATTAAGCATGTCAAATAACCTTTAGTATAGTGTTCTGAGAGTTATCAGTGTGTTGATGTGAATTTTGAGAAGCATTTTGCCCAACATTCTATGTTCTTATGTGTTTTTTAAGCATAAATAAGTAAGTCGTAATAATCTCAAGTCCCAGCGCTGAGCGCGAGCATTGAAAACTAGTTCCCATTAAAGACTTCACCATTTCAAATTTATTCTTCCCTTATCCCTCCACATGAGCAATCAATAAACCAATCACAATTTGTCTTCACAAAAAAAAATCAAGAAAACTACGGAATTTTTCCAATAGCACCATTTAAAAAAAATTATAAAAATGGCATCCAACCCACACTAATTTCAAACTAGCACCCTTAATTAAAAATCGCAAGCTCAAGAGGCAGTTTGTGTGGAAACCGCAGGCGGAGGATGCGGTTTAGAGGGAAATCGTGTGCGGGCGGCACGGTCTTCGCTAAGGCAGCCTGGGAACCGCCTAGGGAAGCGGCGATTTTCCTAACCGTTGGATAAAGAAGCGATCCAACGATGGATCGCGCGCCAACACAACGATCCGCGTAAGGGATTGAAAATCGCAGACGGAAGGAGTTGTTTCATACCTCGTTTTACGCGAACCGTTCCTTAGGAGCGCGGTTTTTGTGGTGTAAAAATTACGAAACCGCCACTCAAGGGGGCGGTCCGAGTTCTATATACCCCCCCATTCCCCATTTTTCACACAACTCATTCCTCTCTCTCTCTCTCTAAAATTATCTCTCTATCCATCCTCTCTTCCCCCCTCCCTCCCAAAACCTAGGAAATAATGGTCTGTTGGTTGCGGCTAAGTCCGATCTGCCATCAGAAAACATTTCTTTGGTTTTTCCTCAAAACCCGTCGAAACTCTGTCCGACTTATTGAAAAAATGGATGATTGGTGCCAAGACAAGGGTATTTTCCATGATGACTATCAAGCGGTACGTATTCATTTTACCAAATTTTGTTGTTGTTATAATTTTTGTAATTAATCTATATACTAACTAATTAACCTTGTTGTTATTCTCTTGTAGTTTGGAGACGACGTGGATATATACAACCAACAATATTATGTTGATCAAGGACCGATTGATCCTAGTGTGTTGTACGACCAACCTAATCATCGTTCAAGTGATGTTTGGAACGATCACCGGGTACAAACAACTCTTCCTAACCCATCTGCCCATCGACGGCAATGTGGTGTGTGCTAGCGATCTTTCACCACCGGATGTTGGCGGGATGACCGGTTGGGAGCATTTTATCCACAGCATGTTGGGGTTCCGAGTGCCATTCAAGGGAAGCGTTGATGCGGAGGATCGCTTACCACCATTGAGGAAGAATCAAGTATCAATCACTTGGTTGACGAAGCATGTCAAGGACTTGCACGACCCTGCAAAAGGCTGGAGCCCCCTAACTGAGGAAAGTCCAGAGGCGGTGAAGGAAAGATATGCTCGTGTCTATCTCATAAGCATGATCGGAGGAGTGTTCTTCCCAAGAAATCCAACAATTTAATTAGTTGTGGGTGGCTGAGGATCCTCCTTGCTGATTGGGATGAGATGGGGAATTTGAGCTAGGCATCCGCTTGCCTAGCTTATATCTACCACAATTTGTGTAATGCATCTCTCAAAGTTGCGAAGGAGGTTGGTGGGGCGATGTTCATCATCCAATTTTGCGCTTGAGAGCATCTGCCATGGATTGCACCGGTCCAACGTCCCGACAAGGATTGACCAATCAATCATCCCCTAAGAGGCCAAGCTTATGGTTGTGGGTAACCTTCTCGTACCCATTCATGATTTCCATAACATAATAGATAATTATTTAGTTATAACATTTCATTATTTTTCTTAATATTAAGGTGGATTGGGCAAACAACATGCGACAACCTTGTAAATAATCGCTTAAGACCCCATTTCCTTAGGCATGCATCTCCTTATAAAGCGTCTAAGAAAGTGGCGCATTGTATTAGCCCAAACCATTGAAATAGAGCGCTTACCGGTCCACCATATATTATCAGCAAGCTTCTTCCACTTGAAATGGTGGTTCCCATTGCTTTTGAAGTGTCGTATGCACCACCTCTGGGACCACTTCTAGTCTGGATCCAAGCCTAAGATGGCAGCTTTGATCCCGGCATGGCGATCAGAGATGATTGTCAACTTGGTCCTCATAGTGACGTGGATGTGTATTTGTCTGAAGAACCATGCATAGCTTTCGGTATTCTCCCCCTCAACAATGGCGAAGGCTAAAGAAAAGACTTGTCTGTTTGCATCCGCTCCACTGGCAATCAGGAGACAACTCTTGTACTTCCCGATAAGGAATGTTCCATCCACTTGCATCACAAGGACACAGAAGCCAAAACCATCAATAGATGGCTTGAATGATCAAAAAAGACGTTTGAAATGACGTTTGTTATCGGGCTCCGGCGGCTGGATCTCTTCGTCTTGATAGCGAGGGGAGAAAACAGTGCCATGATAACCACTCCATTTGCACTCCCCTATCAATGACCATAGCTCACCGTAGAAATGTTTTTCAATGTGTTTATGGCGAGTAGGGATGGCGATGGGTAGGGTCGGGTGCGGGTTTACCCTATACCAACTCCTAACCCGGCGGGTAGAGCTTTCTAAAATACCCGACCAAATAACCACCGGGTATGAAAATTATATAACCATACCCTACCCACCGGGTAACCATGAGTACGAATCCTAAACTATGAACTTATACACATATATGCACATACATACTGTTGTCCATTAAAAATTCTCAATACTTCTTTATAAAAAAAAATTCTCAATACTTGTAACTGTTCGAGCTTCAACAATCCACACAAATAAAAATAGCAAACACATAATAATTGTTCTTGCTTCTACAATCCACACAAACATAATAATCGTCTACATCTTCATCATCAATAATGGTAGCTAAACTCAATTTCTCAAGCTAATCTAAATTTCTCAAGGGAAATTGACCATTTGGTTAGCGGGACGGGTATAACGGAGCGGGTATTATCGATTATCATACCCGTACCCTACCCTTTATTTTGAAACCGGGTATTACCCGTACCCGCCTCTTAACCCGTCAAAACGGGTAATTACCCTCGTTGACCTGTTACGGTCGGATAGGATACCCATGATTACGGGTTGGATTGACATCCCTAATGATGAGTGAATGTACCATGCCTTCAAAAAATATAAAAAGACGTCAATCTGTTCCCACTTATTTAAATATGATTTGAATGATATATATTTGATGAATACACGAAAGGAATCTAAGTTATTGTTACCACTATTCCTGTGAAAATTCCTCCAGAGCTTTGGGATGACAACTATGACCGCAGAGGAACCTTTGTAGCATGGTTGTCAACCCACTGGGATGGCGGTTAGTATAACCCAGTCCAAACGGTATAGGGGAAAAATCCGGCTGGAAGATCACCAGCTAAAGAAGTAGTTAAAACCGACAAAAAAAATATGATGATTTCTCATTTTGTTTGCAATGTAGTATTTTATTTAAATATAGATTAAAATTATATGTAGATTATTTTAAGATAGATTATATATTGAGGGTTTTTCACTTCTCATATGCTTTGTCAAAATCTGTATAAACTGATAATTGTATCCGGTTGTATGATAATTGCTAACCTATTCAGAGAAAAATGTAAAAATTGACGAAACAACTGTGATTTGAGTTGTCACAGCGCACCAGATTCTGAATCTAGACAACAGGTTGTCCAAGTTGATCTCTTAATTAATGTAAAACTGCAAAGTTAAAAAGAAGCAAAAACACAGACGACAAAAAAGAGGGGACGGTGTGATGTAATAAAATATCTACTTTATATTCGCTCCTTCTCGACTCATCCAGTGAAAGCCACAACTCACTACTTCGCCGCCGCTGAATTCCCGCCGCCGCTGAATCATGGCCGATCAATCCCCCGCCGCTCCGCCTCCCCTTCCTCTCAAGATCATAGCCGGGGCCGACGGCTTCGGCTGCCCTCTCA